AAAAAAAAGTGTGGTATTTTTAAGCCAGTCAGTTTTCTGGAAGCCGGATTCGTGATGTTTGTTGGCTTGGGGTTTGCAGTATTGCCCCTTCTTGTGACATGAGCTGACAGCAAACAGAAGGTAATTTTTCAGCCTCTCTCTAAGATGTTTCTTGACAACGTAGAAGTAAAATGGAAGCTGGTGCATGTGCTGCTGTCGCGGCTTTGACTCTCTGGACTCTTGAGCTCCTGCGGATGCTAGTCATGACACTTTCGAGTCCCACGTTTGACTCGTCATTACATAGCTTGATGCCCCCATTATATAACTAAAGATTTGTTTTTTTGAGACCAGCCACATGGCACATAGGCTGTCGTATAAAGTCAAAGACTAATGAAAATCCTCAGAAAAACAGCCTGGCAGGCCTGCTGGGGCCACTGCTCATTTCTTTGGTTTTATTTTAAAATCATCCTAAAATGACTCAGGAATGCAAATTAAAATCTAACCTGGAGACTTAAAAGCATTAAAGCAGAGATTAGGCAGTGATGATTAAGATGAGAACATTTGTGTGTTAGGACCAGATGTATTAGAGTCTCTCCCCTAAGATACCAGTTGGAATCATCACAGCAGACAAAGATTGTTCGAGGCATGTTAATTTTCACAGTCATTCAGAATTAAGTAGCGTTCTAAGCCCCTGGCCGATGGCTATTCGTGATCTCAACATCTGTCAGTACCGCCTCGCTGCGAAACGTTCCAAATAAATGGACTCTTCTTGAATGAACTGTGCTTCCAGCCCAGGCATCATTCTTCATTTCTTTCCTTCCCAGCCCAGCCCTCCTTTTGGTAAATGAAAATGCTTATCAGCTTGTCTGTAGCTATATTTTGTCTGCAGCACGTACTCCAGTGATAAATGAAGACAACTTTGGAGTGCAGACAAACATTAATTTGGAAACTAAAGCCCAGGGTAACATTTGCACCAATACTACTAAATCTTTTAAGGTCCTAAGGCTTACACTGAGCTAGGAAAATTAATTTGTCATGCTTACTGGATCCCAGAGAGACTGGGAAGAATGGATATTGATTGCACAATGTGCGTACACTGCCAAAAATCTGTTACATGTCCCAAAGGACAAATAATTTGGAGTAACCAAATCTGCACTGGGTGTATCTCCATCTGTTTGGTCATCTAGGAATCTATTTCATTTTAAGAAAATACTGCTGGGTTTAGGATAAAAACTCAAAGCAAAAAAGTTTTTTACCCGTCATCATGATAAAAGCGGGAAGATGCTTACTGTTGGTTCACAGAAGGTACAATCAGTCTTTAGCTGTATACTGACAATCACTGTGTCCATACAGCTAACAGTACACAGCTTTATTTTATATATTTACCTTTTATATAGTTACTTATATTAAGCCCAAGCTAATAAGCTGTTGTACAATTTCCCCTCCTGACAAAGCAAATAAAAATTGAGGGCACTCAAACGTTCACAGATCTGGAAGTTTCTCTTTGTTGGACTGAAGGGTCACAAATTCAAAGCCTATACTAAAGAGTTAATGCCAGACTGTCTGGGTCTTTTTGAGTAAGTGGTTAAGGGCTCAGTCCCATAAGGTGCTGAACAGTGAGATGCAGCAAGCCATTCACATCATGCCTTTACTTTCAATCACACGAGCAATTTCACTGAAGTCTGGAACTACCTAGGCACAGTCTCAGGACTGAACCAGAAGTACGAGCTTTGGTTTAAGTATAGCCTCATCAGTGCACCTTTTACTGCGGTCTTAAAGAAAAAGTCAAACAGCAAAAAAGAGGTTTTCATGTATGACCATGCCCAGATCAGACTGTTTCTAGGCATCCTCGTTTAGTAGCTCTGTGCTCACATATCTCAGAATATAACACACGCGTCACCTGCAAGCATACAAGATAAAAGTATTATTATTACATGCTGGAGGGAAAGTCGTGAATATCTGAAGCTGTCAGTACTGATAGCAGAAAAGCAACTTCAGTGGCATTTCCTAAAAGCATCCTCTAGCACAACATCCTGTTTCACATGAGCGAATGAACGCTGCAGGGGCCAACACCTCAGCACCTCAAGAGGACAAAAAACATGCCAGGGAAGGGAGCGGTGGGGCTGTCCACGGGAATCAGAGTGCATGTGAATAAGCATTTCCCCCTCCTCTCCAAGGTGCATTGGGTTTGAAACTGATACAGTTCCAACCAAGTCTTCAACACACTACTGCAGAGTTCGGGGGTGTTGGTCCCAGACCATTCAATGTATGTACCTCCATGTAACCTGCCTTTACCCTGCTATACAGCCCTACACCAAAGTCCTGTGCTGGGGGAAGTCTATCCTGAAAAACAAAACAAAAAAAACCCCCAACTGTGACTCCAGATCACTTGGGCTGACAAATCACATTTTTCAGTTTACAAAATGATATGCTATTATTTTTAATACCAGCCTTGCACAATCTCAAGGTCCCAGCAGACCCCTTCAGTTTCCTATACCACAATCTAAAAAACTCAGCAACTGGGACTCTGCAACAGTTTCCTCTTGGGGACGCAAGACAAAGAATGAAACCCAGATCGTTCAAGAGCAAGTGCATCAACCCTACTGAGCTAACACAGATTAAACCCTGGCTTAGTTGAGATGCGATGCCAGAAACGTCACTCCTTTGTAGACCCCCGGCTATAGCAGCTGACACCCCTTAACAGTGCTAGCCCGATGCACCTTTCAGTTCAGGCAGGCCTTTGACTTTGACTTCAGAGCATCAAGCACAGAGTGGACTGAAAGACAGGTGGTGAAACAGCGCACTGAGAACATGTCCTGTGTGACCGAACCTCTGTAATGCACTGGTAGCAGGGAGGGAGAACCAAGTACAGAAGGTGAGCAAATAACAGAAAGAAGAGCAGGGGATCACAAAATGGTCACTTTGTTCATTTATTTGATCACATGCCACTTAGTCATAATTAGTTATTTTGCTTCATAACCCTTAAACAGTAGAAAAATCTTTATAAAAGTACCCATGCTACTGTGAACTTTTATTACGTTTTATTAGAAAAGTTACTATTAAACTTCTGCTGCAAATTAGACCCAGACCACCACTTTTCTTGTGGATTCATAAGTATTGCCGATTCCATGGTTAAATGCTAAAATGGGCATTGGTAAAGATTTGTTAACCCATTTCAGTGTTCTGTTTAAGGGTCTGATTTGGCAGCTTTTTGCAGGAATATGTTGCAGGACTGACCTTAAATCTGTAAGCACTACAATAAGCCACACGGATGAATCGTACCAGCTACACGCACAAATGAGCCAGGATTCCTCAGGAGTATTTATTATTTCTTAACCCTTTCTTTTAATCAAGAATGAAGCCCCAGGTGCTTATGGACCGTTAAGTCTGTGCCAAGCATAGATCCAAAATACGGCCTCAGCTCTGCAGAAGCTCACAGTCTAAGCCACACACAAGTAGTCCCACTGACTGTGGCTGCCCACCTGGGTGCAACCAGAAGGGCACGCGTAAAAGTGTTAACACCAATACGGCCAGCAAAGTTGTCCAACTGCACGTACCAACCCAGTCCCTGAGATCACCCCCTAGGAAAACCCACACGCTCGCACCACTTAATACCAGCTCCATTGCGACACTGGCCGTGAGGAACCGGGAGTGCGGCGGGGCTCATCGCTTGGCACGTGCCCCGTTTCTTACGCTCTTCCTACAAAGCAAACGCTGCTTGCCACAGACCGCTGGGTCAGGCGGACCTTTGCTTCGCCCCGGCCTGGATGTCCTTATGCTTAATCTAAACGGGTGATTTTTGACCTTTCCGGACTCAGAGCACCCTCGGAAAACGCCGGCTGAGTTTTCGGGTGGGGGGTCGGTTGCAGCCGCGTTGGCCCTTCCCTGGTTACAGAGAAATCCCAGGGCGGCGGCTCGCAACCTTCTGAGGCTTGGAGAAACTCCGGCCCCCCTCAGAAAACAGCAGCTCTCGCTTTTCACTTGTTTTTTGGACTACGGAAAACCAGGGGGAAACACAGACAACCGGTGCCGTTGGCTGGTCCAGGACATGACTGGGGGGGGGTCACACAGGAGAAGGGGCTGCGACTGCTCCAAGGCAGGGTGTTAATCCGGATTACTCAGAGGCACAACGGGCTCGCTACGCGGCTCCCCCCGCCCCGGCCAGGCCCGCGCTCCTCTCCTCACCTCGCCTCGCCTCAGCGCCC